AGAGTAATTGTATGCAAAAAGGTTTGATATTTTATTGAAAATAAGCTTTCCTTTTCAACAGATACCCAAAAAGGTAGAGCACAAAGTACGCAAGCGTAAAATAATTAAAAAATTCTAAAACACATTTTTTATACTACACGTCTGTCCGTCCGCGCCAGCGATAACTTGAGTAAAAATTAAGATATCTTGATTCAATTTGGTCACACATGTGCCTTGTCACCTAAGGGAGCTTGTTATTGCAGATGGGCGTAATCGGACATTGTCACGCCCACAAATCAAAAACCTATTTATTGCCATAACTAAGCTTCACAAAAAGATACAAGAAAAAGTTTGAAAACTTTGAAAAAGTGAGCTTGGCCTCCAAATAGGTTTAATATATGTACAAGTATTATATATATCTCCCAAACCATTTAAGCTATATCAGCCATATTTGCACAGGACAAATCATTTCGACACCTCTTGCGACAGCGTGAAAATAGGTTAAGTCGGATGATAACCATGCCCAGTGCCTATATAACGGCTTTGTTAAACACTACTAAAAGTGCGATAAATCAATAACTAAATGCATAAGAGATATTAAATTTTAAATCCAGGATGGTACAAAAGTCCTTTATAGGAACATGTGTCAAAATTAAGCGATGAGCATGAAATCACATACCTCCGGACCTACTTTACCAATTTTTAAATTTGGTACAAGCATTATTTTGACATTCCCATGTTGCAGTGCGAAAATGGGCGAAATCGGTCGGCAACCACGCTTACTTGCCATATCAAAATCAAGCACCAATGAATATATCGGGATAAAACATTGCACAATAAGTGCATTTTAGGTATGCCATCTAAAGTTTAAAAATTGTCTAAATCGGACCATAACTGTTCATGTCCCCAGATATTGAAGATGTGGCCCCCAGTGCCTGTGACTGAGTGAGTGAAAATATCGGTAAATGTATGAGTTATGTAATTGAAATTCGGATCATTACTTATCCTAGCCCCTATATACCTAATAGATAGATTTTCGAATTCCCGGCTGACTTATTTCCGCATATATCGGCCAATATATGAGTTATCTTAATAAAATTGAGAGAGCATGTTTGCCGAACATTTCGGTCATTGCAGTTATTTATATATAAAATTGCTTGAAAATATATTCTCGAGTATACCTGAGCAATGTCAATGGTTAAAGCAACAAGCCCAGACCTTTCTTGTCCCCCCACATGCCTTGTATAGTGACTTCCGCTAATTCAGCTGTACTTAAGACGTTAAGACGGTCAAAATGTGTGATATTTAAAGAAGAAATTAATTATTAAAAAATTTGGTGAACCAGTTTCCTTCAATTAAAAAAAATTATATTAATGGCTTAGTTTATATCACATAGGTATGTATATCTCATTTGAAGGTGATTATAATATAATTTTAAATATAGCAATAAAACTAAGTGAGTCAATGACCTATAACATAACTTAATAAAATACCAAATTTTATTGTAATCCGTTTACGATTCGAATAATGAATGTTGAATTCTTTCGTAACATTTTTAATATAACGTTTTGACAATACCTGTAGGTATTTCCCCAACCTTGCAAGTTGCGAGAGTGTAAAATTTTCGGTTGCACCCGAATTTAGCACTTCCTTACTTGTTTTAATTTATAATTATAAACTTGGGATTTAAATGTTTTTTTTTTTTAACATTCGCGTATTATTATTATTAATTAAAATTAATATTTATTATTGTAGTATAAAAAAATACTTTACATTACGTGACATTATTCCTCTTACTTCTAATAAATTCAATACATTTTTGCATAAATGCTATATTTCCTTGTTTATACTTAATTCTAAAATTGTTACATAATTCATATATTTGTGATTCTCCTACATGTTTAATCTTATCAGTTAAATATTTTGGTGCATTTTGATTTTTAGCTTTGTGGATTGTCATAAGAGTACTTAGTTCAATTTAAAGTTTCAAGCATTATTTTAATTGATGTATATTTACAACATTGAAATATAAGTCTCATTTCCATATTTTGCAATTCTTGGAGCCTTTCCATCTGAGTTTGGTTGCAGCATATATATGTATGTAATAGTGGAGCAATACTCAAAAAGGGGTTTAATAATAATGCTGTCATTATACTAACTTGTTGGCGAATTCCTCTAAGATATGCAAATTTTTTAATTTAGGTTTGTTTATTTTTAACCAACTACTTACTAACACTATATTAGTTAAAAGTTTATCTCGACACTATTTTTAATATTCTCCATCAGCATAAATTAGCGTATCATCCGCATATAAAATAATGTTATATTTTTTTATAATCATATATACAATATAAATAATATGGATCCGAAAATTGAACCTTGTGGTACTTTTTTTTCCACCCTTCCCCAGTCTGATATTTTTCAGTTTTAATTTTTTATTTTAAATTTTATTTTTGTAATTGCCCGCAATTTGGAAATTAGAAAACTATTTTTATTTTAAATTTTTTTTACAAAAAAATCAAGAAATTTTGAATATATCGCTATATTATTTTCTGGTACTAAAGAGCAAGCACGTTTCTCCGTTGAGTTCTTTTGATAAAAAATATGAAAACATTTTTCAGTAATGTCTATCAAAAAAGTATGTATGTAAATGGTTTATAACCAAATTACTTTGTTTTTTATGAAGTGAACGAGTTTTCAAGTCATAGGCTTTTTATATTCAGGTTATTTAAGTACAAGACATTTTTATTTCCCTTTACCACGACTGTTTGTTAGCAGGAGAAACAAGTTCATTTCCCTACTTATTTGCCTTTTTATATTAGAATGCCATTACAAGATATGCATAAGTCGACAAAAAAGGTTTGCGATGACTATATTAATTTCAGTTTTTTCTCAAATGTTTCTATATTTTTTATATTATTATCTTTATGTCCCATTTGGTCTTCTATGGAATGGTTATTCTATTTTGAATTGCGGCGAAATTCACGAAAAAATCATTCACGCGCAGTCGTTAATGACAGTATGATCTCATCAGAGAGAGAGAGAGAGTTTCTCCCCATTGTCATTGTGGCGCTACGAAGTTTAAACGATCACCAAATATTAAATTATAAGAGGTTTTAGAAGTACAATCAAAGTAAAAAAATTGCATAAATTTATAAAAAAGCTGTTTGTGAATGACTTAATGCTTTTATAGCTATAAATATACGAACATACATATGAATATAGAGACCGCTATAATATTTTGAAATTGCAGATAATTCATCTGGCATTGTTTGGATTCATAAAAGTGATAATATTTGAAACTTTCAAAATTAGGCAATTAGAAGAAATGTTGAGAGGATGTTTTTCAATCTCGGAAATAAAATTTCCAATCGAAACTTTAGCAACTTCCATAATTAAGGCCTTAGGCCTTATTATCGACGGTCGTTATAAAACATATTTGATTAAATATTCCACTTTAAAATTAATTATGAATTTATTTATAACTACATTAAGATATTAAAATCATTTATATATCTAATGTAGAGGTATAAACATTCCATTAACTATTATTGAGGAATGATGTTGCATTGACAGTTCTTCGCCGGAAATAACAACACACTCGTTCTGGTTACGTAGATCCGACTGCCGGAAAAATCCTAATTGTTCAAACGGACTTCTAAAAACAGTATCCTAATCTATTGCTCTACAATGTCGGTTTTATAAACATTAAAATTCAAATTTCGATTACAGTTTGCGAGTACATACATAGGTATACACGATGTCGACAAATAACTCTTAAATTTGCAAGAGTTAAAATAACCGTTCCCACGACAGTCGGGTCTACGTAACCGGAACGGACCCGGATTTTACCCAGCCAAGGACTGTCAACTCGGCAGAATTCTGCCGCTACAACAACAACAACAAAAACAAATAACTCTTACTTTTGTTGCCATTTTTTTTTCTGAAATTCATAAGCACATTGGTTTAATTTCGTGCAGCGTGTGTTCTGTTCATATTAAATATGTAGTTATACAATTAAAATATAAATCACTGCTCCTTTCTATGTTCAACATTTGTGTTACTCACCTTCGTAAGCACAGTCAATGACATCAGTGCCCAGATCGCTGTAAACCTCTTCTTGCGTTGCAAAGTGACTGTCATGCTCATCAAATGACCAGTAAGAGTAGTCAAATGTGAAGTCATGATGATTATCGCGTCCAACATCGCGTATGGATTGCAATTTTGGCTTTAAGAGTCTTGTTTTCTTACCATCCATTTGCACAATAAGCTGCGCATCCATATCGTTTTCACTATAATTAAACATGATAACTTGTTTTAAATCTTGGCAATAGCTAAAAATTCACAATTGCTTATATTAAATATATATTACATAAAACTTGTTTACTATTAATAATCTGAAAAATTTAAGTACTTCATTTACTTTATGTATAGCTAGACCAGTGCAGAAGCCTTTGAAAATGATAAAACAAAAAATCATAGTAGATAGAAACCCATCGGAAACCAAAGATAAATTGACATACATTAAGCGAAAAATAATTTTCGGGTGCTTTGAGGTCGGGAAAAGGATGGGGGGACGGGCTGAATTTTTAAAGGTTAAGAATTGTTAACATCTATATGCTATAGAGAGGTCTGATATCGGTGATTCCGATAAATGAGTAGCTTCTAGGGAAGAATTCAATCCGTGTAAACCACCTGTTAAAAAGGATATTTACCCTGTACAATTAATATCAAACCATGAAACATTTTTCAGAACCATGGTCCATAGGTGTTAGTGAAAGCTTCGTAAACTGAACACGAATTTACAAATATACGAAAAAACGATTAGTTCAGCAACATCACATGTAACTGTGTATATGAACCATGCAATATGTTTTTATTTGAAACCCGGATTGTTCAATTTACAAATTATGGAGATTACATTCGATGATAAAGTTGTGATCTTACATCAACAAAACGTCAATAATTATTACAAAAAAAATTAAAATAAAGGTTCACAAAGCCATGATAACCTAAATAAACTAGGCTGGTAGAAAATAGTTTTCTTTACAAATCAAATAAGCATAAACTATTTGAATATAACTTTATCATGCCATAAATGTAGACAAAAGGGCAGAAATATCGACCTATAATTTTAAGGTAGTAGTCCCGAAAACCTCATTATACACACGTTTATTTTTAAATAAATGTACAAATATGTATATAAATATTTTTTTGTGAGAAATTTGTACTTATTCATAAAAGTTATATTATAACTCTAACTAATAACCTTGAAACTGTAAGTTTAAACCCTATTTTATGCATTACATTTTATTTTTAAAAACATATGTTCCTGCGTATGCTTTTAGTCTAAAAAAAAGTTTGTGTTTACAAACCTTAATATACGTGCATGTGGACAAATAAATAAAGTATACCTAATTAACAAGTTTTAAAGATTTGTTGGGCATAGGTGTGTTTGGGTATATTTCAGTGTTAGTAATGCGTTACCTAATTATAATTAATGTTTTTTAATACTGATCATCGCACGATTTATAATTGGAGCTACATATGTACGTATAAAAATTAGCATATACATACGACATAGCTATGCATGCAAATATGTAATTGGTACGTACCGTGCATTGAAGGGGCGAACACGAACAGCAACCTTTAGTGACGACATCTTTGAAGTGTTTGGTTGTAGAAGATTCGGTTTCCCAAACAAGTTTCCACTTCTCTGAGTTGTTGCGGAATACGTATAGTTAAGAGCAAAAAAAAAATAACTACAATTTTTTTCATAAAGGCTTTGAACGCAGCTGAACAAAATGGGGGTAATGATTAGATGAAGTTTCCGTTTTAAAGGCACAGTAGTTTTTTTATAAGAAAGGACGGTAAAATGGGTTTTGCAAAAACTTGCTTTGCTTTAACTTTTAATCAATTTACATAATTATTTGTTTTATTTGGTCGATTCCGATATCAATAATGGTAATTGTAACAATCTTTATATAATTATTATTATTATATGCTTGTTGCGTCAAACATAACTTTTTTACACTTGTTTCTTATATGTTTTAAATATATTTTGGTTTCTTTTCTCATATTTTGATTCTCATTGTCTACCCCTCCTTCGTGAGCTCTAACTATAGGCATTTTTCACAGATTTTAATCAAATAAATCGATTTAAACCGCACTAAATAACTTAGCAAAATATTTCAATATTGGCAAATCACATTCTACATAATTAAGCAACACAAAATAAGCTGGTAGAAAAAAAGTTTAGTTCTTATTTAATGCACGCCACGTTACTCCGCTATATACTAGCGTTCACCGCCACCCAAAAATTTAACTGACGATTCAATCGCGAAGGCATACACGATGACTATGCTCTAAACTTCCCGACATTCGCGTTGTACAAATGATTCATTCCGTCGGCTCCTCCGCCTCTTTGGATTCATTTCGGAACCAAACTTCGCTGATACTATTAACGCTACTTTGCTTTGTATCTTTTTATATTTCTATTTGTCTACTCAACTTTTCGTTTTTGTTTTGGTTTTTGCTTCGTTGTGCTATGCGCTGTTTTTCACTTGTTCACTTCATCTGCACGCTAGAGTTGCCAATAGCATATACTATTAGATTATATGTGTTTCTTTTTATCCTCAGAGTAATAATAGGTTTAAGGGGGAGTAAACTTAATTTGTTGAACGTTGAATTGCGTTTTTCGTAATTACGTATAGAAATAGGTTTTAAAATTTCGAAGCGATCGGTGCAGGAATATTGAAGTTATGAGCGGCAACCACTTTAAAAACGTTTCATCAATTTTGCCAGGGTCGATTAGAAATTTAGGCACAACCTTCTTGAGATATTATGCATTTATTTAAGCCAGGATCAATTAGAAATTTAGACACAACCTTCTTGAGATATTATGCATTTATTTAAGACAAAAAATGCCCGCTTTATTATCCTCAAAGCGCCTGAAGGTTTTAGTTGCATCTAATTTTCATAAAAAAGTGGGGAAGCCGCTATTAGAAGCGTGGTTGTTTTTTAACATTATGTATTCAATGTTTCGAGCACTTACAACCCACCACGAGTGGTAATCATTAACACTATTACATACAAAAATCTCAGATTAAAGTTTGTTATAGGATGTCCATAGGCTAATAGTCAGTAGTTTTTAAATGCTGGCACAAAAAGAAATAGAAAGTTTAAATATTGAAAGCAGATAATGCTTACCACTTACATATTTTATTTGTTAATATATAATTTCCCAATTAAAGCAAACAAATTAGTGTTTTTAATTTACATACATATGTATATACATTTTTCTCCAATTAATATCTCTATGTAATTCTATATGTGAATTCTATAATAGGTCGAAATTATAAGTATCATTAAAGAAATAAATAAATAGCAAAAAATTTATCAAATAAATAGCAACAAATAAAATTAAAAGTAACCGTATCAAATAAAATAAAATTAATTCCATAATATTCGTCTCTACATTTGTATAGTGTATTAGTAGAATTGAATTTCAATCTCATATATATGAGTCATTTAATTTGTGAAACCATTCAAGGGCATATTCGTATCCTAAAAATGTTGCTGCATTTACAGGCATTGCACGAACCACTAACATCCAACTTCCACGGAATAAACGGCGCCATCCATATAGCTATATAATTAAGCGTAGCATTATTAAATTATTGATACAAATTTGCAATAATACTTACTTTAAAATTTTTCACCAAACAATGCCTGATGTTACGGTATTGTTTATTACTCTCTGCTTGCATTATAGTCTTCACCACATCGAAAGGAATCACACACACCCATGAAAGAATGCCAGCCCAAGCGCCCGCCAATGTTGTCACCAGAAAGTCAACATTAGAACCTTCATTTTTAATGCGTCGTTTACGCACTAACGGTGTGGTTTCTAGGAAGTCAACAGTTTGACGGTACACCATCATATAAATACCGTAAGGAAACACATCGCTGTTAAAATCAAAAGTTTTTTGTGCTTAAACATTAATCAAAATACATATACTTGTAATATAGTTATTACCGACACATCATAGGTAACAAGCCTCTGTATAATCCAGAAACTCCGTCAACTTGTATGACTTTTTTAAAAACACCCCATGCTGTTCGTCTTTGTCCGAAAATATATTCATTATAATCTAAGTGTAAATAATTAACAGATATAGATTAATATTTTTTAGCTTGAGAGAAGCCAAATGGTTCTATTTTGCTCAGCTCTTACAACAATGCGTCTGTAGCCTCACTTTGACCAGCTCAATAGGACATGCTATAAAAGATTGCACAAAGCCTGCAATTGATCCAGCAATGAACATATTTTGATACTCCAACTGTTCGCGCTGATAATCACTGTGACAGACACGTCGTAGTTGTCTCAAATGATTGCCATAGATACCGAAGAGTATTGAATTAATGGCGCCGGTTGTAACGAACGGAAATAGCATCCCTCTGTAAAAGCCATTTAACTTTAAAAAGTTTATTTGAATATTAAGCTTTTCTATTCGTAAATATACATACACATACATACATATGTATGTATATTTGATTGCTAAAACTAAAACTGAGCACAGGAACTTACCCCATTGTTACGATTATAGATTTGACGTATAGCCTTTGGTACTGATGAATTCGAAGCCTGCTGCCATGTTTTAATTGTGTCCAAAGGATGACCGATGAGAACTCCACATGCCCCTATCGATTTAAATATTTATTTAAAAGAGTCCCGTATTGGTTTTATTAGAATAGAATAGAAATAGGAGTTGCCTCTACTAATTTAGAAATGTAATCGTTAAAACTACACGAGGGAAAGTAAATATGTAGCAAGCCCAAATTCTTTGTAAAGATGGTATGAATCTTGACTATATTATAAACTGAACAGTGTATATTAAGTTTGCCATTAAGTTACCCCAGGAGGACCTATAAAGTACACATGGTATATACATACATTATCAGCATGACAAGCTGACTCGATTTAGCCATGACGGTCTCCGTCTGTATGTACGTGAACTAGTCCCTCAGTTTTTATGATATCAATCTGAAATTTGGCACACGACATCGGCACGACATCAGACCACTATAACATATAGCTGCCACACAAACTGATAGAACAAAGTCAAGATAGAGATCTTTTTATAAAATTTATGCTTTATTAAATGAAGGGTGTTATAGCTTCGTTGCAGCCGAAGTTAACGGACGGGTTTTGAGCGAATGGCTTACCGCAAAGAGTTCAACCGATGAAATTCACTATTTGTATTATTCTACAAATTGCAATTTAGACGCTAGATATTAGTGCGACCCCCTATCGGGATCATATTTACATACTTATGTACATACGTGTATAATAAGACAGACAGGAACCCTTATTTAATCAACACAAATATTTTAAATGCATTAATCTCTAAATGATCTGGGTATACATTCATATGTATATACACACGTGCATATATTTTAATTCATAATTTCATTTACAAATGCGCACAATTAAGAAAATTGCACTTCAAATTCTAGCACCTGTTTCTAAAACAAAAAAAAAAAACTACGCGGCCACATGTTAATCAACAAATACAAGTACGTATGTGTGAAGATATGCTTATGAATGTCAGTGTGGGTAGAAACCGCAATTAGAAGTGTGCTTCAGAGAAAGTAGGTTTCTATTTCGAATGCCAAAAATACTGCAAAAGATCAGGGGCGCCAGTCATGAACTTGAACAAGTGTGCATGCGGATGAAAAAAGAATATTGAAAATACGATGCCCGAACACGTGTAGCGGCAATGGATCGTTTTCGGGAGGCTAGATAATTTTTAAATTTCATTAACTTGAGCGAGCGCATTTGTATGTGTGTGTTTGTTAATGCAAATGTAATTGCAAGTTTACAATTTAACCGTTTACATGAATGTACACATACATACTTATGTATATATACCTACATATATATGTATGCATTTGTATGTACATATTTATAACGGCACATGTATTACATTGCATCACAATTTAATCAATAGTGAAAAATTTATAAAAATAAGTCCAATTCAACGAATTAAATAAAGAAGAATGCAGGTTATCGAATACTTGTATAATTTTGAAATTTTTATTATTTTATACTTATACTTACCACCAACGCAGCCAGCGCCAAAATCGTCCAATTTCATTGTAAGTGCGTCTTTGAGCAATTTTAATATAAAATTTGCATATACCAGTAGAATCCTGTTTTTTAAATTAATTATTCCATAAATGCTTTCGCTTTTCCGCTTTCACATCTATTCTATATGTACACAAACTAACGTTCTACCATTAATTTTTTATTTTCGCATCGATCCGATTTGTAGTATTATTCTTGCGCACAAAGCCACGGAGCACAATAATAATTGATTCTCTTTCGGGTAATCAAGAGTGATTGTTGCAACATGTCAAATACAATTGCGAAATAAGTACAATGCATTTTTCAAACTTTCAGAAGCTTTGCAAGCTTAACTGCTATGCTTTTCGTCGCATAACACTTCCTTACATCGCGCAATATGTGATCAATTCGTTCTCAGGTAGGAATGTTTGTACGTGCTTCTCAGGCAAATTTGCTTTGTAATATGTATGCCCCAATGTGTAGTAACTGATCAAAATTGACCTAGACTGACAAAAAAAATTCATTCTCATCTACATATTTTAATACAATATAGTCTCCTTTTGAGGCAATACAACCATGCACAATTTCTATACACTTGTTATAAGCCTCGGCTCTACTCGACTCCCAGACAGAGTTATCGCGTGGTAAACAAACAGATGCAAATAATTCGAGTCGAGCCCTAAACATTTTATTATGATGATTGCAACTGAAACAACAAAACTCAAAAGCTCAGAGGCAATTTATTTCTTACAATTTTTCTAAAACTTTACTGAATGGTATTGAAGCATTTTTCGGTAAACATTCCTTAGGCAGGTGGTCTCGGCACAGACCAACCAAATTACAACATAATTTGCATGGAAGAGACGGTGTAAAAAAAATTATTTCCAACAAGTTAGGAAGGTCTAAATTTGGGTGTAACCGAACATTTCATACTCTTGCAACTTGCGTTACGTATTATGGATATATAACATATAAGGAGTAAAGTCAGCCGGATGTTTAAAAACCCTGAATATTAGTTACAAGTAAATAGGGGTTAGGACAAGTTTTCACCCGATTTAATTCATTTTAGGTACAAAGATGCACCATTATTAGAAAAATACGCTCACTCTATTTGATTAAGATAACTCACATATTATATTTGCCGATATTTGCGGAATAAAGTGAGCCGGAAGTTCGCAATTATTTATATTAGATATATGGGGGCTAAAGGATGATCCGGTTCAATCCATTTTTGACATACAAACATAATATTAACAGGAAGAAACTTTTTACGAATTTCGGTAACTGGGCGCTTGAACCAGAGAACTTAAAACAACGAGAAGGTGCAAATTGAATTTTGTATGATGCTCGATTGGTTGGCTGAAAAATTGAGATCAAGGAGTTCACCATTTTCTGTAATATTTGCTGTTATTTAACAGAAATGAGATTTTATAACAACGTTCTCTGACAAATTACGTATCTCCCAATATAAAGAGAAAAATGAAGCGAAATGAATGAAAAACAAAAAATACAAATGCCACTACACATATGCATGATTATTTTTTTCCATATAAACGATTTTTATGATGAAAAATTGATAAAATATGATTTTTTTGCACAAATGCTACATTGATAAAATGTGAAAGATTATGCAAGAAATGATATTTTACTATTTTCATAATTTTCTAATTTCAGTTGTTACAAAATTAATAATTTATGTATGTACATATGTACATCAATATGTTATATTATATAATATACTTGTAATAATATACTATCAATTACCAATGAAAACATGTGAGCGCACTGCTCTATATGTAAGTATGTATGTACAAATATGCGTACGACCGCGCAAAATAAGTAATGCATACACAAATCTACAATCAATAAGCTACTTAAGTCGTTTCATTCATAAAAGCAAGCATGTGTGGTGAACTCCTTGATAAATTCCTACAAATTGTTCGCTGTCGAACCTGCACCTTCTCGTTCATTTAAGTTCTCTGATTAGACTTATTTAATTCCGTTCCCACGACAGTCAGGTCTACGTAACCGGAACGAACCCGGATTTGTTCCGGCCAAGGACTGTCAACTCGGCAGAATTCTGCCGCTACAACAACAACAACAACATTATACTCTGTAGCAAGATGTTACATGCAGAATATAAAAATCATCAAGAACTTTGAGCTAGTTTTAACTTGTTCAGTTGGTAATCTCGAAAAGAAGTTTCAGAATCATTTTTTAACTTTGTCGAATTTGAAATATGTGATTTTCATTGTAGCAAAAACTATGTTTTCACATAACAATGTTTTATTAATTCCTGTGATAATTAGCAACCGCCCTTTACAGCTCAACGTTATCACACACGTAAAACCGTATAACGTTACAAAAAACGTGTTACCTTCTTTTTTTAATAATTTTATATTTATTGTTGATTGATTTTCTCTTATATGATAGGTTTCGCTTTCAGCAAAAACATTTGCAATCATCCATTGCTGGGATTCCCACTTGCTCCTGTGCACAGGGTATTTATCTTCGATACTTTTTTACTCGTTTGTTGTCAGTGGGCCTGATAGACCAGTTGTTTACAATGCTTTCATGTTTGATCTTCTTTACACGAAGATATATATTTTTTCCTGATTTTTCCGATTTTATATTTTTCTTTTAGTACTAATCGGATATTTGTATTAATATACATATGTATATATAATCTCATATATATATATATATATATATATATAATATTTTTTGCATTCTTCCTAGAATAGTATATCAATTATTATTTGTTATAATTGTTTGCGTAATTTTTTTTTAATTCTTAGTTTAACGTAACATTACGAATATACTTTAAATTAGACTCTTGCTCTGTATTTTTATATATTTTTTTTGTTTTGTTCTCATTTTGCAATTTTCGTCTTTGCTACATCAACTTTATTATATATTATATTTTTATTTTATTTTCTTTTTTTCGTTCGTTTATATTATATATATATAATGTTTTTGTTTTTAATTCAATTTACTGTGTCTACGTATATTATTATTATTTCAAAATCATAGCAAAACAAATTTGGTCTATGTTTTTATACGTTTTTTTTATATTAATTTTTTATTTTGTTTTAGTAAAAACACATTTACATATAAAACTACATACAACTACAAACATACAAACATGTACAACAGAAAATTATAAATACATAAGTATATATTTTTTCTTACTATTCTTCTTAATTCGTGTTCAAGGGAAAGGCTGAGTCCAACTTTTCCGCATTGTACCACGTATTCATGAAGTTTTACGTCAACGTCTACATTTTTAATTAACCATCGATGATGATCGATGATACATTTAGATAACTTTCTACACTATGAAGAATCAATGTATGTGTGTGTACAAGTGAGAGAATTTGATAGCAAAATCAATGGATAGGACGGGAAATCGAGCATTTTTAGAAAATAGTAAGTTTTTATGCAATAAAAATTAAATATTTTATGTAAAAAATGTGATCTTAACATTCACTTATTTGGTCTAAGGCATTGAGTGCGCGTTCATCACTCAATGGCTAAGGCTAATCTGCGGTAGAAATGCACGACTAAAGTGCTACGAGAACCCTTGATTTATGATATATGTCATTTGGTTAAAGGTGTACTTATCATGAAGATGAAGTTGAATTTAATTTGATCTCACTTCCAAGTCTCAACAATTTTCAAAAATATAAGCATAATAAAACACAAGATTTACAAATATTGCTAACACTAACCAATTAAAATATCTATGAATTATTTAACGGTAAACTCTCTTTTGCTATAGATATCTGGATAAGTTCGAAACCCCATTAGAACTAAGCAATTGCATGTTTAAAATATTGAATTATTTTGCTAAAAACCTTTATAATATGCTTTCAAGTGTAATTTCTTTAAAAGTCAAAAAGAGGAATAAAAATATATTAAAAATTAAAAACGATATTATGAGAAGTAGTTATATTTATTTTATAACATTTTTACCTCTCTCTTATATTGCAATAAATATTTTAAAAAAAATCTAAAGCGGAATTATACAAAACATTTAAGATCTATTGGCAAACTAACTTTTAAGCACACTAAGACAACAATAAGGGTCTGCAGAATATTGCCAATTTTACTAGTATTAAATAGTTTGACCAATTTAAATTATATACACCCTTAGAAGTAAAAAAAAATTTCCTTCACAACGAAACTTTCACCTGTTCCTTCACAACCTTCGACGTAGTGTTTCAACTGTCTTCCTGTCAGTCGGCTAACCCAACCGAAGTAGACCCGGATTTATTACAGGCCAAAAGCTATCAACCTCTGCATTAACCATTTATTAAAAAAAAATTACATAGATAACTAACAGAACAAACACTTGCAGAATTACTTACTGCAATGTTTCTCGCAATTGGTTATCACATTTTGGTATCAATAGTTGAATGTTTAATGCCCAACATGTTTCAACATTAAAAAAACGGGTAACCAATTTTTTAACACGAAAAGATATGTAAACACTAATTTTATAAAAAAAAAAAAAAACAATATAAAGCAGAAATGCAAGGTAAATTAAGCGAGGGAGAACCTTTCTAATAAATTAAATTAAAATTTATTTAATGTAATGGTAAAGAACTATGTAAGTCTAGAAGTATCAATATTCTTTGCTGTTGTCAAAAATTGTGTGGTTTTCATACCGTTCTAGAGTTACGAAAGATTACTGACTGACATAAAATTCATTGAATTTAAGTGAAAATTTAATAGTTATGTACCATATAATATTGTTGTTGTTATTGTATATACTTGGTTCCGCTTAATGAGTTTTCGAACTATTCCGCATGAAGAGAGCTAAAATTTTATTTCATCTATTAAATTAATTATATTAAACAACTTTTAAAAATAACTATTTTTATGTTTTATTATGCCAATATAATCAAAAAAAAATTTTAAGCTTAAAAATCATAAAAGTTATTTTTGCTGTTTTTTACATTTAAGCCCAAAACGAGTATCTACATACAAATTTACATCCCCTAATTAAAGTTTAATATTATAGCGTACACTTTTGGTCATTTTAAATTTTGCACAAAGTGTTATTTATACATATGTTTATCATAATCATATATGTAGTTGTGTATGTACTTCTAGTTCTATAATATATTGTTTAGTAGTGTATAGTATGTATAATATAAGATGTACATAATAATAACAAAAAGACTTAATACAGAACTCATTAATTTGTTACTTACACTTCATACTTGTATATGTATGCATGCAGATGTGTATGCCTATACGTTTTGTTTTACTTAGTTTGTTTTGTGTGATTTACGGTAGTTTTCAGTTTTACGCTTCACATACTAAATATTTTATTTTTTAAATTTAATTTTAATATGTATATATATATATATATATAGTTAGAACTATTTTGCTCATATTCCCACCCTTTACAAATACATACATAGCTCTTACGATTTTACACTTGAAAATGTTTGACATACATACATAACTGTATTCGTTATTTGTTTAATGAAAATAGTGTAGGGATGATCACTTATTTATGCTTTAGATGTATGTATGCATTTATTAATGTATTTTTTTTTCATATCATCTCACTTTATATACTTCTTTGTTTTGTTCTTTTCCAATGTTATTATTGTTTTTCTTTTGTGGTTTTATTTTAATATTTATATCGAATGATTAAGCGTTTTATTCTTATCTATTCATAACTGCATTTCTAATAAATACCTGCATTTGTATTCACGTGGATTTCAATCATGCCATTTCCAACTTTTCCACAACGATTCATGCACATTCACTAGTTGGTTTGGTATTTATGTATATGTATATATTTATTTAACAGTTTAGCAAATATCTACGCTTTTTTTTGTTTTTGTTTTAGTTTTGTATAATTTTCTCATTTTATCAGCAATTTTTTCACCAAATAAACATATATAATATAATATTTCCTCTTTTAAATGCCTTAATGTTACATTATTTTTGCTTACAAAAATTTGCTTCAGCTGTTTACTAAGGGTTCTCTTAAAACTAGTTTGTTTTAACACTAAGGAGAGTTTTGCTGTTTTTCTATATGTGTGATTTTTTAATATACTATATGAAGAATGCTTATGAATATTTTATACCGGCAAATAAGGGAACGCGTGAATATTTGCATTTCACACAACGAAAAGTGTGCACCAGGCTTTAGAGCTTTAAAAGCCTCACATAAATGACTTATTTTACACGGATTAAGGCGATCAACTTCTGAGCATAAAATATATATACAAGATTGTGTGTGTTCTAAATAAAATTATTATTATTAGATAGCATTTACTTCACTGGCAAATCATAATTTTTCTTTTGTATGCATGTGTGTGAGTAATCAGAAATTGTCGCTCATTATGCTTACAACTCAAAGAGTATGTAAGTATTTAATTTAACATTCAACCAAATAAATACATACAAAAATCGTAATTTTGCATATTTTACAAATGGTATTTTCATAACTTTTCCTTTACAAAGCATTCGATATTTTTGCTTTATGTTTAATGAATTTGGCTGTAAACAAATGAGTTCTTTCTCGCCTATTTATTCATTTCTCTCATTAAAAATTTACATCCCCTACAAAATCGTATTGTTTTTAATTTATATATATAGTATTTTTTCGGCGCATGCATTTATTTCTATTAATTCTTAAATGTTTTATTTGCACTAAACATCTAATTTTTATTATTGTATGTTAATTTATACTATGCTTGCCAGCTGTGCTGCAGTTTTTATATTTTCAATTTCGTACCTTTTTATTATTATTTAAGTTGTGTGTGAATAAATGTGTAAATCATGTAAATTTGTATGTACATGTATAGACTCATCCGTATATAATATTTGCAAAGAGATAAAAAAAATTTTGACAGAAAACAGAAAAGTATTGAAAATATATGAATATTCTATTAAAGGATTAATGGTCAACTATCGCTTTAAGAAATGACGAAAAGTATGATAGAATACAAGTTAATAAATATTTTAAATGCTGATTGAGCTATATAAAGCAATTTGTGAAAATTGAATACATTCTTTATATATAATTAAATTTTTGATTGTGTAACTTATTAGTGACAGAAATTTATTTTTACAAAAACAAAAATGCAAACATATTTAATTAAGAAATACTACAATTATTATATTTTATTAGTTCAGAAAGTGCTTTAAATTCAAAAAATTATGCCCAATTGATTTTTTTTTAATAATAAAATTTTAACAGCTAATACATAGTAAAAAAAATACTTATGCATGATTTTTAAAATATTACTTTTTCACAAGTCATAATTTAATTCATTTATATTTTTGCAACATTTATGATAATAACCTATTTAACTAAATGAAAAAATATATTTTAATATTGGTTATTGTCCTTTATAAATATACTGAAAATAGTTTCTCGTTTCAATTTAATAGTTTTCGTTCAACAGAAAAAACATATTCAAAATATTTCCTCTATTCCTTGGCATATCAATCCTGCATATTACTTCTGTTGCTACAAGGCATAAACTGCCAAAGATCACAACCGAGTTGGCGCTACAAGTCCACGTCTTACACTCAAATGTAACATATTCAATACTTTTGTAGATTTGGTTCGAACTAATTATAGCTTTAGAGAAAATAAAAAAATAATTTCTTGAAATTTCACCGTATTTGCTTGTGGCCACAGATTTATCAAGAAGATAAAAAATAACAACAAAGTTAAACAATAGTCGTCCATATGGTGTTGTGGAGAAGAGACCTTTTTGTATACCCAAACATTTAGCCATTAGTTGTGATTATTATCTAATGTGAAGCTTAGGCGGATAAATGAATAAATGTTTTTACATGTGTATATATAATTGTTATGTAATTTTTTTTTATACGAGAAACCAGAAAATTACACCAAGTTAAGTAATTATTTTGTTTTCACATAATTTATAATGCACAAATAATTCCAAACAAACTCTTAATTTGTTGTCGTTGCTAATGTTTTTTAAATAGAGGAAAAGTGATATATTTTAAATGCATAATTTTAGCAACTTTAAATATATAATTTATTTACTAATTTTATTACTGTAATTGAAATAAAACGTAAATCATACATCGTGTAAGCTTGTAACCGGATTGGATTTTGTAAAATTAAAAATTAGATATAAAAAATGCGGGTGTATGCGAATATATTTAACTAATAACTTTAGTACGTAATGAAAAAAAAAAAACAAAAGAAAGAAATAGCGCGTACAAATTAAATATGATTGACTTGGCACGTACGCTTTCTGTTTATCCACTCTATACATATAAAATGTCATTTTACTGGTATTTAAAACTGCAGGTGCGAATGTATGAATGTGAGAAATATAGCATTATATATTTTTGTAATTATTTTCATTTTGACATACAGATAAGTTTTACATTAGGCCTTACCAAATCTATTGTACTCGTACACACAATATCAACTGTCAAGTAGACATTGTTTCTTCGCATATGTGTGTATAGAGTATATATCTTTATTGTTATTTTTCAATTGTGTAAGCTTTTTTCGCACATGGAATTTGTTATACGGTGTTTTCTAGCAGTCGTTCGCAACTGGAATCTCTTTCACATAATATCACGATCTGAATTTGTATGCGTTAATTTTATGTGCTTGCTTTTATGAATTTTCGCAATAACAATCGTTTTTTAATACTTTTATTGAGTTTTTACACAATTTCTTCGTTCAATTAATTTTAAACTGTTAAATACGCATTTAATTTGTTATTTCTCTTTTAAATTAATGCGTGTTGATTGTTATGACTGTTTCAATAAAAAATATCCCATTTTTTGACTTAATAAATATTCCTAGAATTTATTGTTAAAGAACTTAAGTTTACACATACGAATATATCCAAGCAATATACGAATTTGCACAGAAACCGTTGAGGAAATTAAGATTTACTCTTAAACAAATCATAAAGAAAGACAATGGTTATTACTACTCAACCTACATATAAAGAATATTTACGTTTTATTTTACTTTTGAAACCTACAGAAATTGATTAGTTTAAACGAAAAGTTTGTTGTGAAAAATCATATGAATTGCAGTTCGCTCAAGTGGCATTTTCATCTAACTAGCCAGATAGTAGAAATATAATGAATAGCACGAAGCATTTACGTTAATTGTATAGAATAAGTATTATTTAGGAGAAAGACGTATTGATCTACAGTTAGATTACAATTTCTAGCATTTCTTCACTATTTTTTATTAGCATTTTCATCATCCTTATGTACTTGTATTAATTATTTTATTTCGTATTTCTTTTTTTTTCGTAAAATAATAGGTATATTCATAATATAATATTAATTATGCTTTTATACGCTTTCCTTTTGTTTATGTAATACCACGATCCCAGTTGTAAGTGTTCTGCTTTTTATTCACATTATGGTGTACATTATTAACTCCTTAACTCCCGGCATCTGCGTCTATTATCAACATTTAGCTTCTACTTCTAGTTCTGATCTTATTGTAATGATGCCGGTCACATCATGATAGAGAAAACGCTATCATTTGATCATGTTGGTGTAGTGCTTTTGTTATATTTTTGCTTTTTTGTTTATATTTTTCGATAGGGACTTCAAGTTTACTTAATAATATTCTCCTTTTTTGTGGCTTACACTAAGTTATAGATGCACAAAAAATGCCGAGCTCCTTTTTGACTTACAACTTCAATATTTCCTTTCGTGTTTGAACTGCGCTAAGTTATATTATTAAGTTTATTAGCTTTACTTTTGAATTGTTTTTTTCTGTATCCATTTCAGTGATCGCCTCATATTTAGTTATCTGCTTTGTCGCCTTTTACTTTGGCAAACGCGGTCGTACCACTGGCGTTTCCTGAGGTTCCGCCGCTTTGTGCACCGCCGCTAAGTAAGGCAGGATTGTTGTCACCAGAGCCACCACTGCTTCCACTGTTTACAATGTTAGCATTCGATTGTTGTTGATAAGAGTTGATATTTTGCTGTGAGCCGGCGGCACTGCCGCCACTAACACCAGCTCCTAGCACCGAATTAGCCGTTGACGTACCGGCGGCACTGCCGCTCTTTGCACGATTTATTTCAAGTTCATGTAATTTTTTCCATAATTCTTCACGATCCCGCTCGCGCTTCTTTTCTCTGCAAACAACAAAATATCAGTATTAATTTAATAATATTAAACAAACGTAAATATGTAGGATGTGGACATACTTTTGTCGCTCAGCTTTATAGCTAGCGGTTAGTTCATCAAAAAGCTTGGAGTTCATTTCCATAAATGTCTTTAGCACGTTGTAAACCAATGCAACGATCGTCTGATTCCAATGTTCTTTACTAATTCTATACAGTGCCGGAAACATAATCGGCATAATGACGGCGTTGTTCTCTTCTATCAACGACATTGCATATTCATTATTCCATAAGAAAAGTGCACGCTCGGCAACCTGCGCACATAAAATAAATTAATAATAATTAGAATCAAGATGAACCTTTTACAAGCCACATTAGTAATGCACACTTACTTGAAAATGCGGACTTGACACACATTTGGCGATCTGACGGAACAATGGTTCCTGTATTTTTACAAATTGTGGAGGATCAATGACATCCAAAATTTCCTCGATTTCTCCCAAAAACATAACCTCTTTTTGTGAGCATGTTTTCGGCCAAAATTTTAATAATCCTCGAACCACCGGCTCAGTCAGGTATGGGTCCTTTTCTAGAAACTGAACGATGCAATAAGCCAGTTGAGCGTGATACAACCCAAGGCATTTCACTTTGTGCAGAGGCAATAGCACCTTCACAAGAAACTGCTTATGTTCGGCCTTCAGAGGCAAGGCAAAACCATTAATGATACTGCAAGCAATCGTGTTTACAATTAAGAACGATTATGTGGGGGGGGGTAATAATCAATACTTTACCTGCCCAATATTTCTAGTAATTCGCCGACGCCATTAAAATGCTCTGTTTCGTAAATAAAACGCAAAAAAATATTATTAATTTGTTTTCGTATAAAAGCGCGTAATCCTAAGAATTTTCCATAGATGCGATGTAAAACAGTTTTCAAAAAATCACGTTCACGTGGATCCTCAGAATCGAAGAGCTCCAAAAGCTGTTTTGCCATAAAAAAAGGTTAAGAAGTAATTATTAGGTCAATTTTGTTTTTGCAATGTATTTTAAAGGAAGATAAAAACAGGAAAAAATGTTAACTTCGACTACATCGAAGCTATAATACCCTTCACAGGTGCATTTTTATAGTGGCCCGATAAATAGTAAATTATTCCTTTTGTCATAAGTGTAGTCAAGGAATGGGTAATTTACATCATCGGCTTTTTAAATTGGTAAACAGTTTGAAAGTTTATTGAACACTGTCTATATATTTAACCTGTTTTTTAGTTATGAATTTTGTATACTTCCACTTCATCTCACCTGTAAAACGAACTTCTGGTCAATTACACGTTTGCCTATGGTCGCTTGAAAGTCCTGTGATTCCAAAAAACGCAGGAATACTTCATAAACTAACTGCAAATGTGGCCATGAAGCTTCTAATGTCGGATCATCTTCTTCGGGATCAAAATCTGGGTTTTCACTGGGAGGCAGTGTGCGGAACAAATTACAAGAAATCTGAAGTAAAAGACATTTGACTTATTATAATAATAATATTAATGAATATAGAATATTTTGCATACCATTCGTATAATTTCTGGGTACACAGGTTCCGTGAGCACTCCCCTGCCATGTGTTATATAATTGGAGAGGTCATTTAAAGCAGCTCTCTTTATTTCTTTCCCTTTTAAATCCGTTACTGGATCCATAAAATCAAAAGATACACAGCACTGACGTAATTTACGAATGAATAATTCTTCCTGTTCCAAACTCGAGCAATCAGCTAGTAAGTAGATTAAAACAGTTATAATAATGATATTTTCTGTTCTTTACAAATTCAGTTCCATTTATCATATTTTAAATTAAAACAGTTAAATGGATTTTAAATAGAAGAAAATAATTTAATCATAAATACATTAAATATTTTTATACTGTTAAAAGTTGCTTCGTCTACTGTAAATGGGTTTTCAGGGTTGCAAATAATGTATTAAATTACAAATAATTAAAAAGAAAACACATTACTTTAATATCACAAGCATATAAATATAACAAAAAAGAAATTGTTTTAGAATTTACAATTTTTCGCATTTGCATACTGCAATACTCTAGAGAATGTTCGGTTAACTTACACATTCAAACGATTTCTATTGTATCAACTTTTAATTCAAAATTAAATTCCACATCTTGGATTAAAAATTAAATTTTAAATTTTTAATTCCGATTTAGGACTTAGATTATATTTTTGGCTTAAAATATTTGAAACCTTGCTAAATTAATGGAGACGATATATATATACATATTCGGTTTTATGGAAGTGCATTTACCTTTTAACGGCGGCAATTGTTGAAGCTCCACATCCTGAGAATTTCTATAACGTGAGGAACCCTGACTTTTTTTACTTTTCTTCTTCAGTGAGCGTTTAGCGAATGGATCAATTCGATCAACAAATGTTCCCGATGACATTTTCTTGCCTTGTATGGATTTCCAGTTATTCTTCCTGCTTTTACTGCTTTGCTGCTGCTTTTACGCTTTACCAATTAAAATTTAAATAAACGATTGCACGTTTTAGTTTCTGACGGTGTATTAGTACGTTTAATATAGTGAAGGTATCTATACTGATGCGATCCCTTAAACACATGTACATAAATATATTACAAATCAATATCTTACTGCTTTATGATGTTAATGTCGTGGCTTTACAAGCATATAGCTATCCAATAATCACCACCAATTCTTTTAGATGAACTATCATTCGTTGACTTTTGTATTTAACGTTCTCAAATTTGCAAACTTATAAATTCGAGTTCTGGAGAGTAATTTATGACCGACTTTGATTATTGTATGCAAAAACTGTAACCTTTAGTTATGAATAAATAAGGTAAGCAGAGATTATCTGTACAAGAAAAGAACAACCAAATCAGACCTATGTTTTATAAAATTTAAATATTTGATTTTATATTACCTTTAAGTGGTGTGAATGCAATTATTTAGATAACTGCGTTTGTAATAGTTTTGTTGTTTGACGCGAGTAAGTGGAGGGAATTCTTCTGTTGCGTATCCTTTTCTTTTCTTTTTTTGGTATGTAATACTTTACTTAAGCATCTATGTTAAATATATAAATAAATATTAAATGTGGGAAATAGTGCGAACCTTATCTCCGGATGAAATGGCACATTGAATGCAGTTCTATTGAAGCTTTATACTAAATTATTATTGTATTGTTTAAGTAATGTGTTTTTTGTTTATTATATGAAGAATTGTTCGCCAATTCGGTAACTGCTTGGACACACACGATTACCTATATTAATACAAATTATTTCATACATTCACCTCATAAATTAATTTATTTCAACTTACTTGGTAGTTAAAACTTTAACCGTCCGTGTGTCCTTTTTGAGATTTTCTAATTCTTAACTCACAATGTCAACACAACTTCATTGTTGACATTGTACGCATTATAATATCGGAATAGCGTAAGATATTGTTACACTTTTCAGCTAAATAGGGCAAGGGAAACCATTACGACAGTACATCACTGAAAGAAATAAATATTACTTTAGCTCTAAGATCGATTAAAAAACATTAAATACTATGAAATTTTTTATGACATAATTTAACCCATAAACTTAAGTGAATTATAAGGTAAAAGCCAAATGAAATTTAAAAGATATGTCGAAAAGCTACGATCTTAAAAATATGAATATCGCTATTTCAAATAAATTTATAAAATATTTCAAGCACACCTTAAATTAGAAAGTTCGTTCCTAAATATATTTTAGTCAGTCTATTAGGAGGTTTGAATTATTTGGTTATTAGTAGTCTGTCATGTATTTTTTACTTGTTTAGAATGCAATGGTCAGATTTTGACATCTTCTAAGAAGTGCAGCAACTGGATAAGGAGTAATACGGATGAAGAGACCAAATCGAGTGAACCAAAAAGCCAAAACAATTATGATGACTAAGATTTATTCAATTTTATTTGAAGACAAAAGGCATTTTAGACAACTGTCACTTGACTGTCATACAAAAGGATGAATAATTAACTTTTTATACATATAAAATGCCTATATAGGTACATATATGGCTGACTATAAGAAAACCAAAAATAGTAAAACGAATTAGAACTGCATTGTACAAATCTACTGTGATTAAGAAAATATATTTGTATGAGTGCGAGTACATGTGGGTGCACACTTATGTATGTAAATGCATTAAATTTTAACATTTCTATGTTCAGAGACTTGAGCACAGGTAAATAAAATAGTGCATTCCGCAAATGATATTATCTGTTTAATAAATGACGACATATTATGAAGTGTTAATTTTAATGTTTTTTCAAAATGATAGCAAATCGTCGACATAAGTGATAAGATATAATAAAAAAATGTATGGTAGGCCGTGCAAATAGCCCAGCCGCATATGGCTATATTTGGTAATGTATGTACATCCATTTTTATATTATTCATTACATACTACAAATAATGTATTGATCCAATTTAAAGCGAGAAATTAAATTAAAATGTAAATGTTTATATATGGTAGCACAATAACAAGCATTAAAAGTAAACCTTAATATTGTTGAGAGTTTTAAAATAAAAGAAAATAAGGAAATGTTTGCTTTTATTATAAAAAAAAAAAACGTACAAATCCTCATTTTCATATTTTCTCGCTACCATCGACCAACGCAACAGTTCCGTTTATTAAATTTCTAACCGTGTAATTTTTATAATTAAGATAAGTTAAATTCTTTACAAAGAAATATATGTTTATCTACCTTAAAATAAGGAAAATATATAAATAAAAAACTAGGTGAACGTTTAAACGTCAAACGCCAATGAAAATTATTTATATTTAAGAGGAAAATTAAAATAATATAAGGTTCGAGTGACGTTTTTTTCACTTTAATGTGTTACATACTGGACATACCCATATATATGTATAATATACATATCTACACACATATGTGGATATTGGCATATATATACATATACATAATCGAGAAAACTATCACTTTAATTTATTACATTACCAATATTGATTTGAAATTACACTTGAATAAAATAAATGTATGTTTAATTATTCGATATTTGAGCTTCGAAATATTAATGTAAATATTGACACATTTTCGTAAAATAGGTGTTTCATATAATGCCAGCCCAAGGAATTCAATATAACAGCTTTTGTTTGATGTCATGCTTTTCGGTTTATTTTTAATATTTTTGTGAGAAATTTTAATATTTCTCGTATCGAAATAAATCACGTACACATACTATCAGATTAATACACATTCACGAACACACTAACACACGTGCCTGCACATGATACGTACTCACGAATGAAAGTAAAACGACGAACGAAAGACGTAGAAACACGAAAAAATGCTACATAATCAATAATCTAAAAATAATTAAATTCAATTTAACTAGAAAAGCCCTATTTCAATAAAAGATAGGACGTTCAAAATTTTTACCAATGCAGTTCACTTCTTTTTAGACCAACAAATTATTACGTTTTTGTTAAAGCTGGTTGAACTTCAGTTTTTGTATATGCATTGCTACAAAGCCTTTTTTCATTTTGCTCGGCCTCTGGAATGCTTTAATTAAAAATCAACACTTATGAAAGTTAACTAAACATTTCAATTTTGTGAGTTTTGATTTGAATAAAATAAAATGAAGTTTTATATTATCCTACACATTTTCTCTATTATACGTGAAAAGAGATTTACTTTTCACTGTTTTACCGACAATGACGACAACGATTGAGGAACCAAATTAATTTTTTCGTTCTGCACATGTGTTATGCCTTTTCGCTCGTTCGTCTAATTCTTTCTCTCATACACAATATATAAAAACGCTAACTAAAAAATTTGTTTCAATTCCCTTTTCGACTCGCTTGATATTGCTTACAACTAATGCTGCCAGATTACTATTTGATATTTCTCTGAAACAGCAGAAGTCAGAATTTTGTTATAATCATCCACAAGTGTTAACAAAAACTTCGTTTAAATTACGTTGCCTATAGAAAATATATTACTTTGTTGTAATATGTAATCACTATTTTAAAGTTTGATTGATTTTTTCCTTGCTAGTAATGTACACACGTAAATAAAGGATATATTTCTGTACTAGCATTCCCTTATTCGTTATTTTCGATTTTACTCGCTTTTCCTCCGTTTTGCTCGTTCCATATTGTAACATTGCTTTGTCCTCTTCCATCTGTCGGCGCAGCTCAGTGCAAAATGCTTTATTTAAAAAAATTTTTTTTTTTATGAAATACGCAGCATGATAAGAAAAACTCATAGGGAAAATCTCCAAAAATTAATTTCCTTTCATAACGTTAGACTTAATCTTAGGTGTTTGGTTTAACGTTTTTAACAATTACTAAAAATACTAAATGATCGAAATCTTAAAAAAAATATCTCTGCTATTATGCTTTTTAAAAAAAAATATGTTCAAAGTATTGACTATCTGAAAAAACTTGACTTGGTAAGTATTTTAGTTTTTGGCCTAAATACAATGTTTATGAAAACATATGTGTATTATTATAAGAATCCAGCTTACTTTTACAGTTATGTTAAATATATTCAAACATTAAATCTGTAATTGCAACAGTCTATATTGACTATCTTATTATAAAAAATTGTGTCAATTACCAAGTCAACTTAAATATGGTAGTATATGAGAAATGAACACTTAACATCACAAGAGAATCATCTATCATCTGAAATCATTGCATAACTCATTCTGTTTGGTAGGTATATACTTAAATAAATTTTTTACATCGTTATATTAGCTTATTTCATCACACTTCTCCAAAAAATTTTACTGCCTTATATTATATTATTCTATTGAGAAGCAAGTGCTTTGCTTAATTAATGGGAAATTAACTGAAACTTATATGATTGTAAACATATAAAACAATTTTAACTAAATTTAATCAAATAATTAGTTCAGTCTAAAATCAGTGTAGCGGTTTTGGGAAATATACAAGGATTTCATGCATAGAGAATATTGTACATTTACATATGTATAAAACATACATATGTTAACAAACAATTCATTATCAGACTCATCATTCAGTTGGACTATTACATCTTTGTTTCTATTTCATCTATCCCGTCTTCCAAAGATTTATAATTCATTTTTTCACTAATTTATCTACTCTCAATTGTAAAAAAAATTAGCCGACTGTTGTTAATACTAGTTTCTAAATAAATCAGTGCAAACTAAAGGCTAAAATACAATTTTGTTAAATTATAATATAACTAGTAGTATTGTCTTCTTTACTTTTGACGTTTTTCGATTCAATACCTGTTTGCCAATGAAAACGATTGATTTTCTCCTTTTCGCCGATTCCTCGTTGGGCGCTTCACTTCAACCACTACACACTTTGAGCAAATACTCAACCGCTCGCTTCTGCTGCGCAAATGTCATCAAATGTCAAAACGCCTGAGCGAAACGTTGAAACGGCGCTACTGGCGACATTAATTCATTTTTGATATCAAGCAAAAGTTTTTGATTCCACACCTTTATGGTTGTATGTTTTAATACAAATTTTGTTTTATTTACTTGAGACACAGCTATTGAATTATATTATTTTAACAGCCGTCAAATAATTTTATAAATTTCAATATTTTATATTTTCACAAAATCCTTTACACTCTCGACAAAATCGAAAGACACAACCTCTGCTACCGACGTCGCTAACGACAGCAACAATGCTGCGAAGTAGACCGAGCAACTCTGGACACCTTTTTCTTCCCGTTAAAATTTCTTCGCATTTTTCTCCGCGTTAGCACAATTTATAGCTTTTTCAATTCGCTTTCAGAGGCGATATTATGGAAAAATTTAACAAATTTCACCAAATATGTTTAGGAAAATACATCAAGCAACTAGTTTTGCGATTTTATTTAACTTAGGTACTATAAATGTAAGAAATTACACGAATTTGCGGACAGCGCCTTTGAACGTTTCTACAAATTTTTTCCTTTCGTTCACTCTGATTCAGAAATGGAACATATTGAGCTACTTTCGTCATTTGTGCGTACCGAGACAGTTCTTTGGTGAGTTGCAACAACAAATTGAGCTACTCGGACGGCCATTTTGTGGTGAGTTAAACCTATTTTGAATAAGGTGGCCAGCACAATTCCTAATAATAGTAAATATAACAACGCAATCAGGACACATATTTTTAGCAAACGTTAATGATAATAATTTAATATATATTTACCTTACTATAAATTGCATAATAACTACCTTCGAAGCATTACATTTTCTAATTTTCCTCGCTTTGTGTGACAATTCAGACTGAAACAACTAAGGATAGAACATAAAGGGTTTCTCTCTAATAAAAATGGCGAATGTTACTTGCCAAAGCGTAGAAAGATGACAGTTGTCCAATATTTTGCTTAGCTTCGTGCCGATTACTTTTTATATGAACGTATTTATACAAAGACGTACATCGAACTTGCCTGTCAAAACATATGTCTGAAACGAAGCGAAGCAAAGTTCTATGGGAATTGGCCAAAAAAGTTTTGAAACTTTAAATACAACCCTGAAAGTTCACCACAAATCCTTAGCTTTATACACCATAAGCCATGAATAATTTCTTTGTAAATTTTCAATTGTAGTGATATAAAAAGCAAAGGCAAAAAACTAATTACATATATTCCACAAAATTAAATACTGTCCCATTGAATTGTTGTGATCTACATAAAATAATGATAAGAACAAACTTCTTAGAATAGATTTTATTAAAGAATACTTTAGCTGTGCAAACTAAATCCCAAGGTGAAGAAAGCTGCAACGACGGGTCATGTCCTCTTTATCGGCCTCTGCAGAAAATGTATCTAGCGCCGGAGCAGGCGGAGGTATGGACCAAGGTGCAGGTGCATCAGACGGAAGCTCCAGTATGTGTCTGGAGTTAGCACTAGAGGGTGAACGGCTGTGCAAATCTGGAGACTGCCGTTCAGGTGTGGCATTCTTTCAAGCAGCTATTCAAGCTGGCACAAATGATTTGCGCACTTTGTCCGCGATTTATTCTCAATTGGGAAACGCGTACTTTTATTTGGGAGACTATACCAAAGCCATGCAATATCATAAACTTGATCTCACATTGGCTCGGACCATGAATGATAAGTTGGGCGAGGCTAAGTCGTCGGGAAATTTAGGAAACACTTTAAAAGTTATGGGACGATTTAATGAAGCAGCTATTTGTTGCGATCGTCATCTGACCTTAGCGCGACAACTTGGGGACAAACTATCGGAAGGTCGTGCTCTTTATAATTTGGGAAACGTGTATCATGCAAAAGGAAAACATATGGGACAAGGTAATCCTGGCGACTACGGAGAAGATGTTCGCGAGGCGTTGAGTAAAGCGGTTGAGTTTTATCAAGAAAATTTAAAATTGATGAGAGAATTGGGCGATCGTAGTGCACAAGGTCGAGCTTGTGGAAACTTGGGCAATACATATTACCTGCTTGGTAAGTTTACTTATAAATAGGTATTAAATTTTATTTTATCCACACATTTTTTTTTAAATATTTTATTGCTTGCAGGTAATTTTCAAGCTGCTATCGAACACCATCAAGAAAGACTTTGCATTGCACGAGAATTTGGCGATCGTTCTGCTGAACGTCGTGCTAATAGTAATTTGGGAAATTCACATATTTTCCTGGGACAATTTGAAGAAGCAGCGGGTCATTATAAAAGAACATTAGCATTGGCCATCGAACTTGGAGAGCGCGAAGTTGAGGCACAAGCATGCTATAGTCTTGGAAATACATATACTCTTTTACGGGAATTCTCAACGGCCATTGATTACCATCATCGTCATCTATCCATAGCACAAGAGCTGGGAGATCGTGTTGGAGAAGCCCGTGCTTGTTGGTCTCTTGGTAATGCACATTCTGCTATCGGAAACCATGAAAAGGCTCTACTGTATGCAGAAGCTCATCTTATACTAGCCGTTGAATTACAAGATCCTATTGGAGAAAGTACAGCCAGAGTTAACATATCTGACTTGCGAAAATTGCTTGGATTACCTGATTCACCAATTGACTATGAAGAACGTTCAATTGCATCAGATGTTTCAGCCATTATTGATCAACGTTCCGACAGTTCAGGCAGTACACAAAGTCGTATGGTATGTTGTTTATTGATATGCTACCATAAAAATAATTCTTATATATGCTATATATTACTGTTTCAGGTTCGTGTAAGGCGTCAAAGTATGGAGCAATTAGATTTAATTAAAATTACTCCAGATGGAAAACATGCGAGTCAAAGTAATATATTAGATGAAAAACGCGTTCCAAAAGGAATTGGCACAAAAAACAAGGCACAGGATGAAGACTTTTTCGATCTTTTATCACGCTCGCAATCAAAACGAATGGATGATCAGCGTTGTTCAATTAAAATTGCTAGAAATACCCCAAATACATCAACACTTTTGTCAGGTGGAGCATCTTCGCTCACATCTAGTTCAGGTGCCACGCGTAAGCCGTTAGCACAGCAAAACTCCATATCCAGCGGTAACGGTGGGGATGGCAGTGTTGCAATTAGTGTAAAGCCGTTTCACAATGCGAATGCCGCTTCTGGCACCAATTCGGGACACAACCATGGGCATGGGCAGCTAGCACGTAGTGCTACAACTACTCAACAACCTGATGATGACTTTTTGGAAATGTTGGTACGTTGTCAAGGCTCGCGATTAGAAGAACAACGTTCTGAATTACCACGATCGAATGTCACCATGGACGTTGAGGCACCGACGCGTGCTAATGCCGTAGCAGGTAGTCGCTCTGCAGGAGGAAGTAGTAGCGCTGGAGGCACTACCGTGCCTGATGAGGACTTCTTCTCGTTGATAATGAAGGTACAGAGTGGCAGAATGGAGGATCAAAGGGCGGCAATACCTGGGTTTGGTGGTTTTCCTCAACGTAATGCAGGTAATGGTGCGGCCGCAAGTGGTACCGTCGAGAAGATTAATAATAACACTATTAATCAGAGCAAAAAGTAAATGCTGTTATACATACATATGTATGCAACATGGTGGAAGTTATACGTAAAGCATAATATCATCTGGATTTTTTATGCGTTAATTTCTTACATTTCTCTGTTTTTATTATATAACATAACACGATATTTTATAAAAGTTTAGTTCCGGTATCTCTTGAAGTAAGTTTTCATGTTCAAGCCGTTAAAGCATTTAAGGAGAAATCACTTGCAAGCAGTCGATACAAAGATTGATATCTTTCAAGTATTTTCAAGTATGTTTGCGAGAACATACATTTATACACGCAAAATAGTTTGTAATTTTTGTTAGAATGTTTGCGTATCGAAAATTCTTCATTTAACTTTTAACTCACAAAATAACCACACTCAAAATAATTTAGTTTTCCACAAATTATTTTGCATTTCAAAAGAGACCCGATTACAGCCACTAATAGCATTTACTCATTCAAATCATACAAACATAAAATATTGCGCAAGATTTTTGACCATTTGTAGTTACATCCATTCATACCTCTAAACGTATCCAAAAAAGTTCGTTTTCAGTCCAACCGAATTAAGTATTATGGAATAAGAATGAATCATACTTTTTAAATGAAATTCTGAAGCAGTATAAATATAATAATATTATTGCATCAAATATAATACAACATTTTTACAAAGCTGTATTGCAAGTTCACAATTTGACTACCATTTTATGAAGTATTTTAAATGAAATGTCAATACTATTAAGAATTTTTACAAACAAAAAAAAACAACATAACATACTTATGTGTTTAGCAAATGCTCACGAAAGTTTACGAGTTTTGCATACTTAAAAGCCAAATTATTGTAATATAAATTTACTAAATCTAAATAAATATTATTTTATCTAATAAATATTGTTTATATTTACAAATTTTAAAACCGGAAATGCGGGACGCAAAGAATCTGTTTGCTTGATTAAAAGCAAACGCTTAAACGCTCGTAAATATTAAGGTAAACTTGCTAATGTTGTTAGTTCACCAGACAATTTTGGTCCAAGAAACTAATATATTCTTTGCTAAGTTTAATACATTACACAATTGTCGTTTACAGTCGTTGTTTACTATTAAAATAGTTTTTTTTTTTTTTTTGTTTGCTTTTTTTAAATAACAGCCCCTTGGCCGGATAAAATCCGGGTCAATTCGGTACCGCAGAACCGGCTGTTGTGGGAATTGATTAAAATAGTCCTTCTTCACTGCTTCAGTATTTATCGTAATTAGAGTATGCGAAGTTAAATAAAGGAAATCAAAAAATTTTTTTTTGGGCATGGGTTTTACTTAATATATTATGGTTATATAAGCAAATGTGTATAGAAAAGGACAATTACAAATCGAAAATATTTGCTCTGTAAGCAATTAGAGCTATTTTAACATTTTTGATTTTCTCGCCCATTTAATGTCGGTCTTCGCATACATTTCGAAAGCGTTCTAAAACCTAAACCAAAATTATCCGTTCATCAAAGAAAACGACATGAAAATTTTTCTTGTTTTTTCAGTAAGGAAAATGGACACTGTTTTAGTCACTCAACTGATGATCGCCTTTTTATTGATAACTCAACAAAAAGTCTAAAAGCTGTGTTACAACACAATGAAAACTAATTTCCATCTACCTTATTGTCACATTCCATAAGTCCGAAGCTTTCAGAGGCTGGAATATTTGTAGAAATTTCTCAAAGTTACTTAGCAATGTGGAGAAAAAAGCCAGGAACAGTTTTAAGGAATATAATGCATAGTTTCTTTGGAAACTATAGGGCTGACAATTATGACGAGCTAATCACTGACATGATTACGAATCTCCCCATCATTAAATGTAGAATAACTCTATAGATGCACATGTTCCGTTTTCATTTAGATAAATTTAAAGATAATATGTGAGCTTATTCGGTAGAACGCTTCCATCAAGAAAAAATGAAATTTAAGAGACGTTACCAAGGCCGGTGTACTGAATGGCGGACTATATTTGGGAACATGACAGGAAAAGTAAAATTGTTCATATTTACATTTTTTTTTAAATGTATATTGTAAAAAGAATCCTGAATCAATGCGTATATTTTAATAAATTATTTATGTGTAAAATTTGTGTGAGTTGAATTTTCCCATTTTTTATACCTAAAAGCAAATTAAAAAATGTATTTTATTCTTATTCTTATAAAAGCAACAAAAATAAGTTATGTATAACCCGTGAGGAAAAATGCTGTAGACCGGTGCAATCAGGGTGCAATCAATTCAAAAGTTTTGGAATATAAATTAGATTTTAAATATTTAATTCCATTTTTGAGATTAAAATTAAAATTTTCTATTTAAAAAATAAAAATTGATTTTTTAATTAAACATTTTTTTATTGAAAATTTAATTTTTATAAATTGAATTGACATTTGAAATTTAAATTTGTAATCCAATATGTTTGTGATTAAAAATTGAAATTTTAATTTTAAATTAAAAGCTGAAATGAAAAAGGAATTAAAATTAAAGACTTACATATTATATTTTAAACTGAAACGTAACGTTAATTAAACGTAAAGTGCAAACAGTGCAAAGAGTTCTAAGCTATATTGATCTTTTTTTTTAACAATATTCTTTCGTTTTCTAAATGGTAGAACACTTTGGTAGAAGAAAATTTCAAAACAGTTTGTTTTTAAAATTTTTAATTATAAACTTTGGACTAATGTTTTATCTTATTTTTCAATTCGAAATTTTTGGAAATATAATATAAAATATTTTTTCATTCAAAATTTAAAAAAAATTCGGAATTGGAATTAGAAATTTTAAAATTATTGTTAACTAAGATTTTAGAAACTTAAGTATTTACAACACTGACTATAATCAGGTGTTAGTAAAATTAAAACTGTTGAAACATTTAATTTACGATAAAAAGATATCTTATAAAGAAACTCATATTATATAGACTGAAACAAGACACAACTCGTGAAAAATTGTACTCTTCACAATTTTACTACATATGGTATAATTTATGCATTTATATGATAATGATCAAAACCTTCCTTTTCGTATCAGTTAAAAATTAAAAAAACTTTCTTGCAATATTTTTTACGTTTTATTAAAAAAATCTTACAAAATCTAATCAAATTAAATTAAACTCTATAAATATTTAGAAATAAATACAGTTACAATCAATAAAATAACAAATATATACAATACATACATATATGATATCGTGAAATGCAGTAAATAATGTATACGTGAATATATTTACAACATCTTTAGAAAATACTTATTTTCGTACCAACTAGTCGCCAATTCATATGCACAGTTATAACAGTATTGAACGTAGTTGAAAATAATTAAATTATCCATGATGTTTATTAACTCTTTCACATCGAGACCGCTCTATACTGTCAAGATGTAGCAGAGTTACAACGCGCCAGTAACGACAACTGTCAGATTTATAAAAAAAAGTTTGAAAAATCCTTATTATCTATATACAAGTATTTACTCATAGAAATTAATTTTTATTAATAAAAAAGCAATGATTATCTACTTTATATAAAGCGCTCGTATGGGGGCTCTAAGCTGAACCACAAATACTCGAAAACTAAATAACAAAATATTTTCTTTAATAATTATGTGCTTTCTATTTTGACGCGTTGATTGAGTCATGTTCGTGCGAACTCAGTACAAAGATCGGTGCCGTGTAATCCAATGCCTTATCTCCACCGCCAATGCTTTTGGTAGCACTTTCCTCGGAATAAACTGGGTAGCCATAATGATCGGTTAGAACCTTGGTGCGCTTCCCTCGTTTTAGCATTACATAGACGACAAAGATACTGACTAGAAACGCCGAACTAGTTGCCATAATGAATAAAACCAGCTGTATTGTACTCTCATGTGAAACCGCAGTTGCAACAGGCGGATTCACGCTGCGGTGTATGAAGTGTGAGCGCGAAATATCCGGTGTGAAATGGCCACCTACCAAATTGAAGTGATTCGCATTTATAGCCGATTCAATAGCGAAGGCATAGTCGATTTTCGCTTCATTATGCAATTCGAAGCGTACGATTACCGATCCATCGAAATTCTCTTGTACGCGTAAGTTCTCTAAGGCGTCGCCAAGTAATTGATACAGCTCTCTGCGGATGGTGTCATAAGCGTTGCGTATGTTTCTATTTGTGCGATTGACCATGTGCAGTTCAATTGCCACCGAGGCTATTGGTGTCTCCGGGCAGTTGTGTGTGCCTTGTCGGAACATATTGGATGTATCCAATTGATTTCCGGCCGCATCAACACACCAACATGTTTTACTGTTACACTGCGTCGGAAAGAATGCACCGTGTTCATCGCAAGCTACAGGAAAGTGCGCAGTTTCAGCCAGAGCTCGGCAGCGTGTCGTTTTAATTGGCATGGGTTTTAACGCTTCGATACTAAGCTGAGAGTCCAACAGAGAGTTGGCTAATGCAAGTATATGCTCAGTAACGTAGGCTTCAGCGGCAGTGTTAGGCACTGCAGAAACTTTTGATCTCACACCAACCGGTGTTTCATAATATTCACTTTCGACCGCCATATTGTCATCCAAACTCCGCCCAACACCATTTCTATTATTATACATCTGCGGACCGACACTAACATCTTGAGTATTTTTCTGCAACTTGTATTCTTCTATATCGACTATTGTTGTCATTTGTCTGATCACTTCTTCCATCAGTTGGTCGTCAACATTAAATGATTTACTCTGACGACCTTGTCGACTATTGCAAATGGGCTCAGTGTCACGTGTCAAAGTACCTTTGAGCGGCGCTCCTTTCTTGTCAGCACACCAACACACACCATTAGTTGAAGAAAACGCTTTTCTGGGAGGTTGTTGCTTTGTTGCACGACCGAGGTCATTTGCTAGCGTGGTTGCCTCTTTCTGGAGCGACGGCTGTGCACCTAAGCATTGGACTGGACTCCAATGGCCGGTGATGGGGTCACAGCGTGGTTGAAACCAGACAGATGTGTAGCCCGTATGCTGCGCAGCCAAGCTGTTCTTCAACTTGAGACGTTCACATGAGGTTAGGACTAAAATTAAAAGATAGAAAACGATTTAGAAGCCTATAATACTTAAAATATAGTATTGATAGATGCATAAATTAAAATCCTACCTGGGCATACTGAATTGCAGGCTAGTTCGTTGTGAAAAAGATTCTTGGTTTGACAGTTGCTCGCGTCTAGATCGATAGTGACGGTTAAACATTTATTTGACTTCGGACTGAATCGGTAGCGCGTTATATTTCGTACAGATTGTATAGTTGCCAAACAAGTATTGTCCATAGATTCAAAGCACACGTCTCCTGCAAAATTTTAAGTTTATTTAGAAATTAGCCAATATTTTTAGCACAGCGTCAAGTTGCTAACGATGTCTAAAATTACTACATACATACTTGTTTTCGAACAGCAAACGCCACGATGTGTCACCGGGTTCAACTGGCACGTGTGTGTGGTAGGGCATGCTTCGTTGTCATTGTGCGGCCCGCAACTAATCTCAAGATCGCCTTGCTTCAGTGGATTGCCTTCGGGACAAACAGATATCCTCCGCGGTACACATATCGGCATTTTTGGACACGGTATATCAATGCACTCGACGTTGATCAGTTGACACTCCTCACTACTGCCGCAACTAATCTCATCGCAAAAATCTCTACACTCACATGTTGGACAACCGTTTTCATCGATTTTATAGCCCGCCTCACACTTCTTATCGCACTGTGTTTCTGCGCACGCAAACGTTGAGTTCCTCCTACAAATTGGCGTTGATCCTTTGACTCGTGTACCAGCCAGCACCCAACCATTGTCGTCAACGCACCAACAGTATCCATCGGGAGAACATTGCTTTTCGTTCCATTTGCCGGTACGTGGGTCACA